ACAGAAAAGGGATATTTACCGCTGAGCTCCCCACAGGGAATTCAGAAATGCTGATGAAGTCTATGAGCAAGCAATTGGAGGGGATCAAGTTATCATGGCTCTCCATCTGTTGTATTGGCTTCTGCTCTCACCAGCTCTGCTTCCTCCCTGGCAGTGATGCTGCCACCTCCAACCACATCAGACTGGAGCAAAAGTGGGAGCTCTGACAACACCAGCAGGGTCAGTGTGCAAACCCTGCTGCCTAGCTTTCTCCTCCAGCATCCACAAAACAACCAGGAACTGCACACAAGGGACTGTGATGCTTCTCATGGGCTCCCTGGTGATACTGGAGCCCAAGGGTCTCCAAGGGTTGTATGTTAACACAGGACTGGGCAAGATGAAGACAGACCCCTGTGAGATTCCACCTGTGAGGAACCTGACAGTAAAAATGTCATCTCCCATTGCTGCCCTTTGGGTACAGCTGCCAAAAAGGACTTCAAACCTCTCTACAAAATTGTCCTGGGCTCCTCCTGCTACCATGTGGCACCTGCCTCAAGTGTGTGGCCAAGGTGGACAGTAATGAATGCCACAAGAAGCAATCTTGTTTCTCCACAGTACAAGAGAAAGGCACAAGCCTTTTCCTCTATGGGTAAGAAACCACTCCTCAAGAGAACTAAACTCTTCTCCTTCTTCAAATCCCAGGAGTTTTGCAGCCTGCTTGCCAAGGACACAAGGGACCAACAAGTGTCAGATGGCTTCAAAACACCCCATGGCCGCAGAGAAATGCCCAGCCTCATGGGCAATGCTTTTGGAGGATCTTGGTGCCATAGGGATACTTTCAGCCTTCCTCCTCATTCAGACACCAGGAAGGTGTCCCTTGAGGTGGGCTAGGTCAGCAACCCCACAGGTCATTCCTTCCCCAGCCAAGCTGAGGGACAGATGTTCATTAGGATGTTCAGGGTTAAGAAGCCAGAGCCCCACCCTTGGACAGTGGAAGCTGGAATCTCCTGAAATGCCTCTTCCTGCTTAACTGGAAGTACCAGGACTTAAGATACTGCCCAACTGATTTTCTTCAGCAGAACCCAAAGCCCTTCTCAAAGGTGAGGGGGCTGCTTGCCAGGCACAGAAGCATCCAGGAAAAGAAGCTTTCCCACAAGAACAAGATGGGGCATGAGTTGAAAACAAAGAGGTCTGAGGGAATATTGAGGGCAGAAGAAAATAGTTAAAACAACACGGGAATTTCGTAGAGGGGGTTGTACTCCCACCTCTGAGATTATGTATTTTTCTTCAATTTTTGCTGCTTCTGGATATCAGAATGAACATGCACACACACACTCTCACCCCTCAGACTATACCCTTCTTTTAACTTCTGACTGGCCAAAAACAGCCCTTTATCCAGTCAGGTCCAGAAGTGACCAACAGTCCCCTACATGATGTTACCACCTCTCTCAGGTCAGTTTGTTGCAGCATCTTTACATCCTCCAGGGCTGCCATGATATACTGCAACCAGAATGAATGACCCTGATAAAAAGCACAGCAGCCTTTGTGCTGAGCAATACAGGAAGCTCCTCCCTCACTCTGTTTCTCTGCCATCAGTCTCCAGTCCCCAGATGTAGTCATCCATTAGCAATTTTCCCCACCACCTGTCCAACAGATTGGGACTTGCTGTTTTAAGGAAATGTCCCACAGCATGAAGGAAGGGAAGACATGCAAAGGGCTTTTTGGTTTTAGGTGAAGGAAGGGGAAAGGTACCCCTGTGATGATGAGGAGCAGCCAAAACCAGGCATCTGTTTGCAGCTAACCAGACCCAGTGTGGACTGAGAAGTGATGCTACCTTATTGCAGCAGAAAGGCAGGTCAACACAGTTCCTACCACCCTGCCCCCTTCTGCCAACAACTTACCTTCATCCCTGATGAATTCATAAAAAGTCAAGAGCAGGAAGCAGAGCAACCACCTTCACAAGATTTAAGCCAGCAGAGAACTACTGTGCACACAGTTCTCTGTTGACTACATCCAGCTGCTTCAGGTGGCATGTTAGGCTACCTGAAATCTGGTCTCCCACTATGATGAAGAGTATTTTGGACACAACGTGGGATTCAGTCTCAGCTATCTGTAATGCATCCAGCAGTCAATCCATCTGTGAAACCCACCTCCCTGCAAAAGGTGGAGACAACTGCTCTATTTAAAGCTGCCACTACCGGGCAAAGGGGAACATTTCTATCTGCTCATCTCCCAAGGCTGGGGAGAGGGAAGAAACTTTCTGGCACATCTGCTGCTGTAAAATGAAAGAGAGATTATGAGGGAGACAGGCAACTCCTACCTGATTCCAGCTTCCCTCATTCCTCTATCCAGAGAAAGAGCAGCTCCTCTTTCAGGAGTTTAAAACATTGCAGGAAATAAAGACAAAGGGTTTTTTAAAAAGGATCAGAAGAGGGTAGAAAGATAATTATTGGAATGGAAGGCAGGAAGAAAGCAGAGATGATTTACAACACCACATATTTGGAACCTCACTGCTGGAGTATGCACTTGTGCTGGGAAGTGTCACAGGGATCTGCTGGGAGACTTCCATGATGTAGTTCAGATAAGAACAGACCATTTGTTTTTTATCTGAACTGATCTTGAAGTCCATAGCCTTTGAGATGCTGCCAGTCTCTCTTTCCCCTCTCTCCCTGTATGCATTTTTTTCCAGCATGGAATATGATTTTGCTTTATGCATTTGCAATGGCAGGTTGTGAATCAATGATGTGGAATGATGCAGTATCACATGGGACCACAGGAACTTCTGGGTTCAGGTCTCTGTATTTTAGGGACTAAAGAAGACTGCTAAGAAAAGTCTAGAAATTCAGATAGTTTCAAGGTTCTACTTTTTAGGTTATTTCTATAAAAGTCAGAAAATATATCAAGCTAACTGCATTGAAAATCCTCCAGCTGTCATCCATCACACAGCTTATTTGAAAAGCCATCTCCTACAAAGTTGTTGCATTTTCTCCCCTCTCCCAGTGTTTGCATTTATGGAATTGATCCTTGCCAAGTAGTTGATAGTTGGAAACCCTCCCTAATGGGAAGACATGAAAGGTTGGAACTGGGGTTAGTGGAAATGAGAAGTGCTCAGGGTCTGCACTGAATACAAATAAAAAATTACAAGCTGCAAGGTTTCAAATTAACATCCTGATGCCTCATGTTGATCTTCAGAAGAGCTTGGTCCTTCTTTTGATCTCAGGATTACAGACAGACAGGACCTGTTTCGCAGTGACAAAAAGAACCTGCTGCACTACACTGACAGAGACCTTCAAATAAAGCCCAGAGTACACAGACACTCATTTGCAGACCTCTGCCAGCACAGTAGAGTGAGACTGTAATTTTGGGACATCAGTGAGTGAATCGGGCCCCTGCAGACACATAAGCACACACGGCAAAGTCTGGTCTCGCTAAAATCCAGGATTTGTCTCTGGAATTATTTATCCTTTCACTCCCACCTGATTAATCCCAGGTTGTGCTCTTCAGGCTCATTCCCACTTGCAAGATAAGCATGACAAGAGCAATCACTTCTTTCTGAAATGAATTCTTGACAGCAACTTTAATCAAGTGCTGATTTGGTCCTTATAATGAATAAATTCTTCTGTGGCATAATACAACTCTCCCCAACTTCAAATAATTTTGAAACTCCTGAAAAATTGTCTAGCAGTTGATGGCATTACAACACAGAAACAAACGAGAACTTTAAGAATGGTATATTGTAGTTCTCTTAATGCACAGATATTTAACTGTATCTACCTTATTTTTTAAGACAGAGGATGTAGAGTAGAAACATTAGAGCCTTATTTGTAACCCTACCTATATACTGGAAGAGGTATTAAATTAATTGTACTTGTTCAAAACCAAGTCCTAGGTCTTCATAAACTGTGTAGTACCTATAAATTCTACCATTTCAGCAGGGACTCAGAATGCTGCACTTCTGGAGATGAGGGCCGAGATGGTCACACCAAAGGGAAGCAATTACAGTCAAGATTTGGAATCTGAAACACTCAACATTTCATTTTTGAAATTCAATATATTTCTTCAGTTAAACGTTGAATAGCTGCAACTCTAAAAAGCCTGTGCGGATCCCAAAGTATTATACTCTTTGGTGAAAGAGCATGGCAAGGCCAGAGTCAACAGAAAGCAGCTGCTCTGATGCAGGTTGTCACAGCTAATCATGTAGATCACCCCTCTGCTTTCTGTGGTGCAAGAAAGAATGCATCTAGTGCTGTATGTAAAGGCAGACTGCTGAAAATTGGATTTTCTGTCCAAATTTGTTAAGCAACAGCAGTAAGTAATTTCTACTGTGGCAGATTCAGAATGCTTTTTCATATGAAAATCAAACCCAAACATATACTTGACTCCAAAAAAGCCCTAAAACATGTTTTTATACCTGTACATAATAAGGCAAAACAGACACTAAAAACATATCCTGGCAATAAATACTTTAAGACTTCATTAGAAAACCAAAAGGTCACATCTGATACATGAAAAAGTCTAATTATCTAGGCTGACATTTACAACTAATTTAAACCAACATGAGCATGAAAAATACCATTTTACTGCAAGAGATAGTCTTCCCTATAAGTTCAAATGTGCCCTTTAAGCATTCATCCTGAAAGCACAGCCCTTAAAAATACCTGCAGCCCTGCCAATTACATTTCGGTATTTTATAGCAAAGCAACACCAAGCAGGCAATTAGCAGAAGATTTCAGCCCCTCATTTGCAAGCAGAACCTAACAGTCAGAGAAGAAAACCACCCATCCTGTGAGCAGACTGTGGGCTCGATCCAGATGTTCAGGCCCCCATTACCATGCAACCAGCTCATCCACGGATGTGAGGAAACACCGGGAGCCGATGGAGCGACGCACGCAGCACGAGCCCGTGCATCCACGCACCTCGCCAGGCAGCCTCAGAGCCCTCTGCCTGCCTGCTGGCTGTCGCTAGGAAAGAGAAAGACACCACACAGCAGCCCCGATCTTTTGTTGTGGTGGAGGACTTACTTCAGCTGTCGAGGCTCGCAGTCAACCCCCGGCAGCAGGAGCCTGGCCGCCTGCCGCACGTCATCGCTGTCCACTGAGAAACTGCGCCGGTGCCCCGCGTGTGCCACGGCAACCCGAATCCACTCCATCAGGGGAGGCAGCACGATGAACGGCCTGGGGAAGCAGACAGACATGACTGCTATACAGTGCACTTGCATCACAATAAACAGGTATCCACAGAGAGAGAGAGAGATGGAGGGCAGGGAGGGGTGTATGTGGGGTTGTGTGCATGTGTATATATGTGCCAGAATACGGATACAGAGAGAGAGAGAAAGCAGCAAAACGAAAGCACAGGAGGGCACACTGGCTCAGCAAATTTCAAGCAGGTCTACATCAAGATGTCTCACCCTGTTTCTGGAGCAGGATTATTTGAAGAGTGAGATTTACAAGCCATGCTCACTTATGGGGCTCCTGTGAGGTCAGTGCACCCACCTGGCAAGTCCTCCCTCCTTCCCCCCCACCTTCCCCCACCCCTTTGCACAGAGTATCCCAAAAAGAGGGCAGGAGTTTGGCACAGGACCACATCCTGCTCTGGTTGACACAGCGGGCTGGGTACCCTCTCCAGATACTTTGCAACAGCAACAGGAGAAAAACCAGGGCAGAGAGAGGGGGTGTCTCCACCCTGAGATGTCAGGGATGGAGAGGTGATGCCCAAGGAAGTCTCCAGCATCTCCTGCCAATGCAATGCAGACTGTGAGCTCACTGCTGAAAGTGAGGACCTTTACAGCTGATCCTGCTATATTCTGGGGGTTATCTGTGAGTAGCATCAAAAACCAGATTCCTTCATTTCATTTTTATGCCTACTATTGCTTGTATCAATCTGCCACACCTTTGGGTACCAGCAGTTCTGCCACTTGCGCAATATACAAAACCAACCCCCAATGTGGGTGGTGGGACTTTGGGCCACAGCCCTCACTTCAGCAAATCATGTACACTACTGGAGACACAGTCCTTCACTCCTCAAGACCTCGATAGCCCTATGTCCTAGTGGGAGCTGCCCACGTTGTATGTGAAGCACACAGCACACACCTTGCCTTCACCTTCTCTAAAAATTCTGTAGGGACCAAGAGAAAAAATGCCAAGCCTTAACTGAGAACCATAGCTTGACATCCTAGTTTGGGGTTAAAAGAAAAATAACTGCAGCTGAACATCTTGGAAAGTTGCTGCCTGTTAGGTCAAGATGGACAAAATCCCCAGAGCAACACGGGCTGCAGCAACTGCCCTCCCATCCCCAAAAGGCTTTTATATCCACTTCATCTCCTAGCTGGGGTGTCCAAAATGTTTGTCCCTTCTGCAGCTGTAAACAGGAGACAAAGTCTGTGTGGGAAAGGGATGAGGAAGGGTAGAAAAATTCCTCTTCATTAAAAAAGACTTTAAAATTCTAAAAATTGCAAAATCATTAAAAAATAACACACCTGTTAAAAGAGTTACTTGACAACTACACTGTTTCATCCACACTACGAAATAGATGCCACGGCCAAGGGATGTTAACAGAGATTGCTACAATATTAAAACAAAATGAAAACGAAATGAAACTTGAAATTACTACTGTTCTCAAGGAACGTCTGGAATTAACCTGCTCTTGCCTCCTTCTTCTGAACCTTTTTCTTTTGTCTTATTTTCCATGTGGCTCCCCTTCCCCTCTTCTTTATCTGTATATTCTCATATTCCCTCTGTTATTAGCTCAGTATATCATCGTAATACTGGAAAGATTCCTTTTAGTGCAGCATCATCCCCTACTTCTACTTCCTTCACTTCTGTTCCTCCTTTTCATTTGATACTGTTTCCTTTATTTGCCTTCCCTTATGTGGTCCCTTTTCTCGGAGGGGAAGAAAAAAGTCTGAATTAGGTGCCCAGTAGGGAAATACTTTACATTTTAAATATGTAATTTTACCCCAGAAGGATCTACCCTGAGAAAAATTACTTAAGAGGATGTTGATTCTGGAATATCCTTTTCCTATTTATAGTTCTTTATTCTATTTATTTCTCTTTTGAAGACTTAACTTTAAATAGCTCTGATATTAATATCCTTAAGGAAAGATGATACATTTCAAAAGTGCCGAAGGACAGAGAAGCCCTGAGGCCACTAACTTTGCCCACGATGCTGGGTTCCCAAATCTCATAGCTGCTTAAATGGAAAACCTTTTTCAAATCTGACATCTTTGGCAGACTTGCCACTTACATCATTATTCTATTCAAACACATCACTGTCACCTTAAGACCAGGCTGCATTTGTTTCCAAGGCCTTTTGCTCTCCCTGGACCTGCTGCAGCCACATGAGGAGATGGATAAAGACGGTACATCTTCTCCCAGAGCTCCCAAGAAATAATTTCTATAACCCAGCTCATTTCTTGTGATGGTGATGGCAGTCAGAGGAGGGAGAGGGGAGCAGAAGGGGTGTATCTGCTCCTGGGAAGTGACCTGCTTCCCAGGTCACCTATGGCATGTGTCCTCAGCACAGAAGGGACCTTCTCACAGTGTGAAGTAGCTGGGGACAAGTGACTGGTGGCAGTTGTTTTCATCACTTGCTGAGCCAACAGCAGAAAGGGAGCTGCAGATTACACTGGAAGTGTAAAAACGCATTTAGTAACCCACTAAATCTGCTGAGAGGAAAACAATTAAAGGAAAACTCAATTCTAGGTTATGGATTTGCATGAGCGAATGCAGCCTGGATCAGATAAATTAAGATAGGCTTGCACAGAGTCTTCCTATCTGCTGGGCCAAAAGAAAAACAGAAGGCTGTGGTTGAACTGGGAACTCAGGGTTTCATGCTTTCTCTTCCTCTTGCCCAGGTCAGAAACTCACCCCGCACAAAATCTGCCTCACCACAGTAATGAGCAGAGCAAATAAAGTTATTTACAGCAACTTTTATAACAGCAATACAAAATTGCTTTTTTTTTTTTTTTCTCTCCTGGTCTTTCAAACTTCAACAGAGATCTCAAAATGAATGTGGCTATTTGGTGTAATAAATCCCCAAAGAGAAGAGAACTGGTGTTTTGTGGAAGCAGGGGAATTTTCTCTATTTTTTCCTCTCTGTTTTCTCTTTTTGCTCCATACACAAGAATCTGGAGTTCACTCACAATATATTCCATTCCTTTTCCCAAGGTAAAAAAAAAACAAGCCATCACTGCATATCCAAGCACACCAGGGAATTTATGTTTTGAGAAGAAAACCAAATATGGTTGAGTGCAATAGGTTAAAAATACCCTCCAAGAGTCCATGGACCACTTTAAGGGGATTTTATTTTTTTTTCCATGCTGTTTATGTGCCAAAGGAGAAAGAGGAACACAAAGTTACAGGGAGGTGACAACCCACAAGACAATGTGAAATCAGCAAGACATATTTCACTTTTCAAATGATACCACACAAAAAAGGCTTAGGCATCAAATAATTGTATTAATTGATTTGTCTCTGCTGTACAAAGACAAGTAACAATGAGGAGAGCTTGGTACTTTGTGTTCCAGAGCAGACACATAGCAGGAAAGTCACCTAGTTTCATGTTTTGGGAGCACACACCTTAATTAAATTAATCTAAACACAGCAGGAACGTGCTGGGCTTGACTCTGCCTGAATGATGTGGAACATCAGGAGCAGCTCGATGGCTGCAGAGGCACCTTACAGGGGTGCAAGGTCAGCGAGCACTCTGATCTCCTCCAGCCCAAATCTGTACCTGGGCTTAACCTGAAACACATGCTCCTGTCCTCTTTAATTCACTGCAGTTCAAAGTATGAGCTTAGGTATAGTCTCAAATAAAGGATAGATTTCAGCACAGGCTTGTAGTTCCTTGAACTGTCATTGAAGAGGAAAAACGTGCCAGATAGGGAATGAAGGGAGAAGTCTCTGCACAGAGCAATCCCCGTTCCATGCAAAAGAGCTGGGAGGTGGGGGAGGGATGGGGGAGGACAACAACAAGCAGATTCCAAATGGTTGGACTCTTCTGTCCCCTGGTACTTGGCAAGAGGATAGCTGGCTCCTCTTGGAGTTTGCCCTCTCTGGGTCCCTTTTTAAACAGAAAAAGGAATTATCAGAGCCTCACATCACCAGTTCCTCCCTCCACACAACATCCCTCCTCTTTTCCTCTGGCTGCCCCATGCCCCTATCACAGCTATTTTGGGATGGCTCTGGGACTTGCAAACTCCTGTGCCTTGCAGACATCTGCAGACAAAAAGCAGTCAATACCCTCCCACGACGAGTGACCACTTGCCTTCCTTGCCTTCCTCTCCTGCCCAGATATCACACGTCCTTCTCTACATCACCCTCAGATCTGGCAGCTCCCTACCAGCACCCACCCACACCTCTTCTCTCCCAAGCAGGGACAACAACCCGTCTGCACCCGATCGGATGTCAAACCTATGATTTTTTATGCAGGGCTGATGTCTCTGGGGCAATTAGAATTACAAAATGGCTCATCAGGAAAGCAAATGTTATGGAAGGGGATCTAAATCTAAGGTATAACCTGCTCCAGTTGTGTCACCTTTTGCCTAAAATCCGCATCCCTCACAAGATGCACACAGCAGCCCTGAGCTGCCCACCATCTCCCTCCTTGTCTTCCTAGCACAGGAGATATTAAAAGTCTGTTCATGCATATGCAATACCTCAGGCTTTTTCATTACTATTATTACTGTTGTTGTTGCTGTTGTTATCTGTGGCAGTTTACCTGTATATAAACAGGAGTAATCATCAGATGGAAGAGCATGAGAAATGTGCACTGTAAAATTCAGTAGGATGCTGCATTATTTTTGCATGGGTCTGTGAGCAGACCAATAAAGCTCCTTTTTGATGACTGTGTGCAGCGATGCTGGAGTTGGAAAGCACCAGGGCCAGCACTTCTACAAATCCTGACTTCAAACAAACCCTCACCCCTTTTTCTCCCTGTCCCTACCACCTTTGCCAGGTGCACTGTCCTTGCTGTCCATCGTGACTTCATGGTCCACACTGCTGCACAGTCCTTCAAAAGCAGGGCTGCCACACCCAACCACTCAGTTCTTGACTTCCCAGCAGGGTAAGCAGCTCTTCTTTTCCTTTGCAGAGAATAATCCAGCTTTTTGGTGGGACCCCTCTGCCAGGAAAGTGGCGTCCTGCCTCACTCTCTCCTTCCAGTTGCCACTACTGGA